TATATATATATATATATATATATATTTCTTTATCATCTTAAAAACAGAAATCAAATATAAAACAATAGAGCAGCATCTTTTGCTTCCAGAAATCAAAAAGAAAATTGAAGAATTAAAAAGAAAAATAGAACGAGAAATTTGTAGTGAATTACCAAACGCTTTCTGGAATAGAAAGAAACACATGGTAAGTTTACCCTATGAAGAAGGATTCTCAGAAAGCAAAATACCTAATAAAGCTAGGCCAATACAAATGAATACAAGATTACTAGAAATTTGTAAAAAAGAAATAGATGAACTCCTTAAAAAGAATTTAATTAGGCCAAGCTCTTCTCCTTGGAACTGTACTGCCTTGTATGTAGAAAATGCAGGTGAAAAGGAAAGAGGAGTTCCAAGATTAGTTATAAATTATAAACCTCTTAATAAAGTTTTAAAATGGATTCGATATCCAATACCTAATAAAAAGGATTTATTAGACAGATTAATTAATGCTTGTATCTTTTCAAAATTTGACCTTAAATCAAGATACTGGCAAATACAAATAAATGAAAATGACAGGTATAAAATAGCCTTTAACGTTCCATTTGGACAGTACGAATGGAATGTTATGCTATTCGGATTAAAAAATGCTCCTTCTGAATTTCAAAAAATTATGAATGATGCATTCAACCCTTATATAAAATTCCCTTATATAAAATTTATGTTTGTATATATAGATGATGTGTTAATTTCTCAGAAGACATCGATCAGCATTTCAAACATCTGAATACTTTTCTGACTGCAGTCAAACATGCAGGTTTAGTAGTCTCTGCTAAAAAGGTCAATCTATGTCAAACAAAGATCAGGTTTTTAGGTCACAATATATTTCAAGGAACCATTGTCCCAATAGACAAAGCTATTGAATTTTCAGAAAAATTTCTTTATATAATTCTTAATAAAACAGAATTACAAAGATTTTTAGGATGTTTAAATTACCTAAGGGCAAAGCAAAGGAACTCCCTTGCTTAGTTTTTTCTGATCCAAATGCTTTTAAGATCATTGAATGCGATGCTTCTGAACTTGGACTAGGCGGCATATTAAAACAAAAAATCCATGAGCATGAACAATTAGTTCGATATACTTCTAAAACATGGAATAGTACTCAACAGAACTATTCTACTGTAAAAAAGGAAATACTCACTATTGTTCATTGTGTCACTAAATTCCAAAGTGATATTATTAATACTTATTTTTTAATTAGAACCGATTGCAAATCTGCACGCGATATTTTAGTCAAAGATGTCCAAAATCTTGTTTCCAAACAATTTTTGCCCGTTGGCAAGCCATCTTATCCTCTTTCGATTTCAATATTGAACATCTTCAAGGTTCTACTAACCATCTTCCTGACTTTCTCACGCGTGAGTTTTTGCAGGGGGGAAGGGCTCTTCCAACACTTGAGATAGATCAACAGCCATTAGCTTTAATACTTTTCAATAAAAATAAAAATATGACTCATACAAATAAAAGCAAAGCCCCTATGGATATTGTTCCATCATCTCCCAGATCTTCATTAACCTGTTATCCACCAGTTTCCCCAAATAGACCATTAGTAATATATCCTGATTATTCTACCCAAATAAGTCAAAGCCAGACCCCCGTTTTTATACAATCTCCAATCCTAAATAAAAAATCTATTACTGGGAAATCTCAATATGAAGAAACTGCTTTCCTAACAGATTGTATCATTGAACCTGAACACTTGACTTTAGAACCTGAAAGAATAGCCAATCTCTACCTTTTAAATCATCTTAATCGTTCTAGTGGCAATAAGACAAAAGAATGGTATGAGGCCATTTTGTTAGATACCAATTCTATCTCTCTGGTACATTTTTACCAGAAAAATACAAATATCATTGCTTATTCAAAAATCCAAATACGCAAAATATTATCATACAAAGATTGGGGTATTGACCCTTTGAGTGGGAAAAAGTTACAGGCACCAGAATTCCAAAATAAATACTTCAAATACTCTGAATATATAGATGCCTGGAATAAAGTTTTTGCCTACCAAAATAATAACAATTCTCATACTTGGTTTGTTCAGTTCTATCCTTGAGGCATTTCCTAATTGGTTACGAGAATGGTTCTTAACTTGGGGATCAGGATCTCAGATCCTCCCAGAAACTCTACAAGTCTCGCAAGTGAAATTTGTAGAATTTAATGGAAAAGATCAAAATACCGATAACCATTTATATTTCATGGCGATTTACCAAATCCCATGGATTATAAAATGGCAATACGAAATATCCAAAAATACAGTCAATAATTATGAATATGTCCCAAAACTTGGGAAAAGAATATTTATTAAGTGGTGGGATATTTTTTATAGCAAGACCCTTACTCCTGATACAATAAAGCTGAAAAAAATTCCAGGACAAAATTTATATGAAAACCCAAATACATTCTCTGAATATATTACCAAAATGAAAAAACAAAATCCTAAAGCAATGAAAGAAGAATTGCAAAAACAACTTTTACAAATGTTTGAAGAAGAATTAGAAAATACAAATTCTTCTCAAAATGACGATACCATTGAAGATTACCAAACAGAAGGAGACTGTGCTGAAATAACCTACCCAGAAGAACTCCTTCATTAAGAGGTCCAAAGCTTAAAAATATGTAATATCAATAATAATATGCTAGAAGATTCCAGAAGACTCCAGAAGATTCCAGAAGACCCCAAAAGATTCTAGACGACTCCAGATAAGTTCGAGTAACAGCTGACCGCAATAATTATCCACTAGCACCAGGGCTGCCAGCTGTCCCATAATCATTTTACGCCGACACCACCGACAAAAAGAATCTTCCACTGTAGCCACCAACATGCCACCTGTCTATGCACTGTAGCCACCGACATGCCACCTGTATCGAGAATCTCCTACAGTATCCACCGACGCACCACCTGTCCCGACAACAATAACGAGCCTGCCAGCTGTCTCAAAGAAAGCCAGCCTCCTCTCCACTAAGAAGTTACCGCCTTATCTAAGCCATCCACCTGTCCTACAAGATTCGAAGAAGATGTGACTATTGTAAAATAATATATAAGACTTTGAGGTCCGACTATTGGGTTATAGCATCTCTTTTTTCATCAAAGTCAAAAATCTTGTCTATTAAATCAAGTATTAGATTTTCTTCTTTAGATAGTACATTACATAAACAATCATGCATTTTTATATCTTGATCTGAATCTTTACTTGAATCAGAAGTGTGCCAAATTAAGTTTTCATCTTCAATTTTTCCTATTCATTTTTCAGTATCTGTGTCGTCAGAAGAGCTATCAGAAATATCAATTACTTGAATTATATTATATAATTGATTTCGTATATTTTCATCAAGCATTAGGGTATCTATTTTCTTTTTAACATGGCAATTACTTTTATAATTGCCAACTTTGCCACATTTATAGCGTACTGGGAGTTTTCTTTTAAATTCTGCTTTTGGAGCAAATTTTTGTATGAACTTATTTCGTTTTTCTTTTTTATGTTTTTGAAATTTTTTTGAAGCTCTATCTTTTGGATATTGTTTATATACTTTTTTCTTGTGCTTTTTACTAGAAGAAAGAATAGTACTAAAACCAAATTGTTCACAGAAGTCTCCTAGTTCTTTCTTTCCAGTCATTCGTTGTTTATCTAATTGTCTTTTTAATTTCATATCATTAAATTTTTCTTTCCAGTGATCGGCACTGGAATCTTATCTTAGTAATAGTCTAGAGAAAAAAACATCTTTATACTATTTATAATATGAAAGCGTAGGACATCTCAAATTAAAAAGCAAATCTTCAGATCTAGCTTCTAATAACGGTGTGCTACCTACAAAATGTAAGGTTATTGTATAGATGAGTGTATTTACCGCATCGCTTTTGCTATGTGGTATATTTTGATTTAATTCATTTTTTACAACCCATTGTCGAGTTGCATTTAATATTTGGGTTTTTGTATTTTCAGACATATGAAAATCCCACCAGCCACGAAGCCAGCCTGTAAAGCCACAAACAATTGCTTTAGCAATATCTTGATCGCGGCTACCAGAGACTTTACATGTTGTGGCATACTTCGTCATATGTCTCATTGTATCTAAAATTTGGTGGTCTGACATTCCATCAATGTTCCAATTTACTATAGTTCGTCCTGAGTAGGAAACTGTATGAGATATTACATCTTCTTCGAATTGTATTTGTATATCTACTGGCGAGGGCCGAGTATGATACATTCTTGCTTGAGACACTGGTCTCCATTTTTTCCCATAGTCTATTCTGTTAATATTTAAACTTTCTTCTTTAAAGGCTTGTTCTATATTTGATATCTCTATATCAGTATTATCAGTATTATCAGTATTTATTGATTCTTCTAGTAGAACCATGGTTTCTGATTCTACTATTTTTGTTTTTCCTTTTGAGTCTATATTTAATTGAGATAATCTTTTTACCAGTTCATTCATTAATTCTTTATTGTCTTATTTTAAGACAAATCTATCTTTATTTATGGTAGGAGGTGGTTTGAACATAACTGCCTTTTTCTTTTCTTCTAGTATTTTTTGGGGTTGACTAATCAGATTTTCTATTCGTGTGGCCTGCTTGCCTAAAGATTTTAGATATAGCTTAGTATAATTATTTTGTTCTACTATGTGAGGAATAATTTCAACTTTATGTGTATGATCACCAGGGATTAATTTATAGGGTGTAGCTTTTGTTTCTAATTTTCCGTTTATTACAAGAGTTTGTTCAGGGGGATGAATATGTTGTATTTCATTTCCTTCAGTAGTATGGTAAGTTGTATATTGATTTTCTAACGTGTTGAGTTCAGGATTTAGTTCTGATTCTAGTATTTGATAACCGTTTTCCTTAAGGGTAGCAACTAGCCAGTCGAAAAAACCTATATTTTTTCTATTTATTTTTAGAAATTTATTGTATTTTATATGACATGCATCTATTAATTCTTTCTTAAAAATTTTTAAATACCAATTTCTTAGGGTAGCATTTTTTTCAGATAAATAATCATTCTTTAAATATTCTATGTTTACCTTTTCTTCTTTTTGTAGAGTCATGATATTAAAATCAAAGTCAGGTAAAGACAATTCAGATTTGGAATAATCTATTTGTTTATATACAGGTCTTTGTATATTACTTTGAGTTTTGGATAATCCCTGTATTATAGGTTCATTAATTGATGAAGTAGAATTTCTAGAAGGAATAATTCTTCTTGGAATAGATCTAATTTCATTCTCATCTAATATTCTAAGTCTAGTATTTCTATTAGTATTAAATTGTATTTCTACTTCTCCGTTTGGATATTCGATAATATGTTTGGGGGTATTATTTTTATGAGTTTTGAATTGCTGATTTTCGTTCTATATAGACCAATTTTTAGGTAATTCTATTTGAGACCAATTGACTGCTTTAGGTATGACAGTGTTAGATTTTTCAGTATTTGTTTGAAAGAAGATTGTCTCTCCTTTAGTATCTATCTGTATTACATTTGGATTGAGAGTAGTCATTACTTTATAGCATATTCGAAATATTAATACTATATTCTGAGATCATGGGTTCATGTCGAAACCCTGGGTTTTTAAGTTTAAAGTGAAAACTTTTAATAGATTTAGGTATGTTAAAGATATAGAAAAATTAGGAAAACAGTTAAAATAAATTGGACCATTACATAGACTTGATTCTACTATTCCCAATAGTGAATCAGTAAATTGATTATGGCGATTATCACGTAAGCATAATAATATAGAATTATTAAGTCCTAATCTTGTTAAAGGCTTAACAACTATTGGGATTAATGCTATATGTAGATAGTTATAATTTTTGTTTTTATGAGATTGTATTACTTTATTAGATAGTAATTGAAAAGATTCTTGCTCCCTCGTAACAAACAAACTTTGTTCAACAGTTTTAATCGCATAGCCTGTTTTTAACTCAAAGGTTCCCCTTTTGTAAATATCTGTAATAGGTACTTTAGGTATATTCCAATTTTATATATGTTTTTCTATATTTTCGATAACTATTTCTTCTTTGTTTTTTACCCTTAGATTATTACTTGTTGAAGGTAACGTCATGTTGGCTAGGTTTCTAATAAAATTTTCCATTTATAGGTTACGGATAATGCTATAGAAAACATCTTACGATGGTTTTCGACCTCAACGGCTTCTCTTGGCCTAAACGGTCTTTGAGCCTGGGCGTCAAGTACCTTAACTCTCGAACTAACCTTTAATAAATGAAAAAAATTTTAGATTCCTAACTTTTAAGGGTTACTCTAACAAGACTCTATTGATAAATTACAATTTCGAAATAGTTTTCTTATATCGTGGCTCTGATACCATTAAAACCAAGATCTATAAAAAACCAAAATTAAACATAATATATTAACCAAGATTAAACAGACTAGTTTAACATAAGTACTTAAAACATTCGCATATATCTGAAGTAAATTAGGGCAATAATTATTGCAAAAACATGAAGAGGAGAAATGTCTAGCAAAATTAAACATAATATATTAACCAAGATTAAACAGACCAGTTTAACATAAGTACTTAAAACATTCGCATATATCTGAAGTAAATTAGGGCAATAATTATTGCAAAAACATGAAGAGGAGAAATGTCTAGCAAAACCTAGCTAGTATAAGTAGTTTCAAATATTTTAATACTAAATATGAACTTTAACTGCATAATCATTTATTATTCATAGCAACTGTATACAGTGACAAGAAAAATAGTTACAAGAAATACGGACTGGTTATAAATACAGAAACTGTAGAACAGTTTCCATTCTTCGGGGCAGAAGCTAAGAAGTGAATCAAGATGGCAGTCACACATGCAGGGTGGCTTATAGTATTCCACCAAGATTACACTATTTAAGACATGAACGACTTAAATAAGAAGCACAGAATTTTACTCGAGATTTACAAAGTACAAGACAAACAGGTGTACAAACTTCTTCGGCTAAGGAGATAATTTTTACAAAGAGTAGAGACTGAGAGAGAAGGAGATTCCTAGCCCTGCCTAATGCATTGGCTAGCGTCCCTTATATAATGCCTTGGCTAGCTTCCCTTATCATGCAAAGATTGGGGTATTGACCCTTTACGTGGGAAAAAGTTACAGGCACCAGAATTCCAAAATAAATACTTCAAATACTCTGAATATATAGATGCCTGGAATAAAGTTTTTGCCTACCAAACTAATAACAATTCTCGTACCTAGTTTATTCAGTTCAAGATGCCTATCCTTGAGGCATTTCCTAATTGGTTACTCAGTTCAAGATGCCTATCCTTTAGGCATTTCCTAATTGGTTACGAGAATGGTTCTTATCCTGGGGATCATGGGGATCAGGATCTCAGATCCTCCCAAAAATTCTATAAGTCTCGCAAGCGAAATTTGTAGAATTTAATGGAAAAGATCAAAATATCGATAACCATTTATATTTCATGGCGATTTACCAAATCCCATGGACTATAAAACGGCAATACGGAATATCCAAAAATACAGTCAATAATTATGAATATGTCCCAAAACTTGGGAACATAATATTTATTAAGTGGTGGGATAATTTTGATAGCAAGACCCTTACTCCTGATACAATAAGCTGAAAAAAATTCCAAGTCAAAATTTATATGAAAGCCCAAATACATACTTTGAATATATTACCAAAATGAAAAAACAAAATCCTAAAACAACGAAGAAGAATTGCAAAAATAACTTTTACAAATGATTGAAGAAGAATTAGAAAATACAAATTCTTCCAAAATGACGATACCATTGAAGATTACCAAACAGAAGAAGGAGATTGTGCTGAAATAACCTACCTAGAAGAACTCCTTCATAAAGAGGTCCAAGGCTTAAAAATATGTAATATCAATAATAATATGCTAGAAGATTCCAAAAGACTCCAGAAGATTCCAGAAGACTCCAGAAGATTCTAGACGACTCCAGAAAAGTTCGAGTAACAGCTGACCGCAATAATTATCAACTAGCACCAGGGCTGCCAGCTGTCCCATAATCATTTTACACCGACACCACCGACACAAAGAATCTTCCACTGTAGCCACCAACATGCCACCTGTCTATGCATTGTAGCCACCGACATGCCACCTATCTCGAGAATCTCCTACAGTATCCACCGACTCACCACCTGTCCCGACAACAATCACTGGCCTGCCAGCTGTCTCAAAGAAAGCCAGCCTCCTCTCCACTAAAAAGTGACCCCCTTATCTAAGCCGTCCACCTGTCCTACACGATTCGAAGAAGATGTGACTATTGTAAAATAATATAGAAGACTTTGAGGTCCGACCATTATATAAGGGAAGCTAGCCAATGCATTAGGCAGCGCTTGGAATCTCCTTCTCTCTCAGTCTCTACTCTCCGAAAAAAATTTCTCCTATAGCCGAAGAAGTTTGTACACCTGTTTGTCTTCTACTTTGTAAATCTCGGGTAAAATTGTGTACTTCTTATTTAAGCCGTTCATGTCTTATACAGTGTAATCTTGGTGGAATACTATAAGCCACCATGCATGTGTGACTGCCATCTTGATTCACTTCCTACCTTCTGCCCCGAAGAATGGAAATTGTTCTACAGTTTCTGTATTTATAACCAGTACGTATTTCTTGTAACTATTTTTTTTGTCACTGTATACAGTTGTTATGAGTTGCTATGAATAATAAATGATTATGCAGTTAAAGTTCATATTTAGTGCTAAAATATTTGGAACTACTTATACTAGCTGGGTTTTGCTAGACATTTCTCCTCTTCCTGTTTTTGCAACAATTATTGCCCTAATTTACTTCGGATATATGCGAATGTTTTAAGTACTTATGTTAGACTGGTCTGTTAGTTTGTTTAATCTTGGTTTATATATATATATATATATAAGCAATGGTCGCCATTGAGGATATCAAAAAATGCTTTCAGTCAGGCATAGCGTTCAAAAAATCGACCCAGCCTCGGAAACCAACCAAGCGTTAGTTTCGAGTAACTGGTAAGCTGGCCGGTTCAACCGGCCTAACCGAGCAAGTCCCAACCGATTAAAAAAGTGTTAAAAAATAGAAATAAAAAATACAAAACACATCTAAAAATATATATATAAAGTATATTTAAATGATTAAACAAAGCACATCTAAATGAAGTTGAAAATTAGTGAAAGAAAGATTTTAAAAATTCAATTTGTGCATAGGGGTATTTTTGAAATATAAGCATGAAACTCCATGACAGAGAGCATGGAGGCTCTGAGATCTACACCAAAAGGCTCCCAGATACAATGTTCTGGTGTTTGAATGACTCTTCTTCTGAGATTGCAGCAGCCTCTCAGATCTGGTCTCTAAGATCTTGTGAGAATCTTTGCCTCGTTTATCCTAAGGCTCTACTACATCATTAATAACATAAGAAAGATGCAGTTTTGATGGGAGGTGGGATTTGAGGTACACGGAGTCAAAAAGAAGGTTTGGAGGGAAAGAGTGACATGTCTGTCCTTGTCATCACTTATGAAGGAACCTATAACCACCCTCTCCACAGCACTGCAACTGTCATGGCCTAAACTACCTCGGCTACCTCCTTGATGCTTACCTCTGGGCCCTTAGACACACACCCCTCCTCTTCAGTTGACCTCCAATCCCTATGTTTCAATCTAACTCAAGGAACTACTGTTAGTGGCACTCTTGATTTATTTTGTAGAAGTCAAATAGGTTGGATATCTAGGTGAGTTTTTCTATACAAATAAATCTCATGATCAATGGTAGCAAAGTTCGCATCAACCACAATCATGAACAGTTGATCAAATTAAGGCACAAAAAGTTATACTACGTAGTTACTAGAGTGCATATTTCTTGATCTATAGAGAATGGTATAGTCATAGGAGGAAATCACCATCACATCACTGGTTTAAGTCGCAATGATTGGAGTGGGTACAACCAAACATGTCATTAGAGTGTCCAGATTACTTTTCACCATCACCAATCCAGGTCTTTGATGGGATGATGATAACCTTATGACCATTTTATTTCCATCACATATCAATCATAATATGTGGACCTATGGCTTAGTAATAGTTTTCAATGAGGCTCAAAATTTGGAGATCTGCTTCCCGTGTATCTTCTTTGCACAAATCATGAATTTCACTGATCCAAACTATTATTGAAAATTAAGTACGAATTCAAACATCATGGAATTATTTTAAAATATTATACTTAACTCTATCATTATATGAAAAGACACCATTAAGATCTCATGGTTCGGATCAGTTGCAATCTTTTTTAGAATGTCTCCTAACTTGTTGAGGGAATAATTTTTTGTTTTTTCTCTTTTTTGGGGGGTTGGGGTTAATATGTTGCTGACCATGACATGATTACGTCTAGAACAACCACAATATACATTATAAATACACAATGCATTTCAAAAAAAACATTGAAATCCAAACATTACATTGACACTATGGCCCATATGTCCATGCTTTTTAAGATTAATATGAAGGGGCATCATAAAACCCAACCTCCTACTAATACTGTATTTCTGTGCAGAAAAGGGCAGCAATTAATTCCCAACTCTAATATTGACTAGAAAGGGTCAAGGGGAACCTCTCAAACGTCCCAGCACGTTGTGTTCACCAGTGAGGTATTCAACCAAGCCTTTTGAAGCCCAAAAAAATAGAATTTATTTGTCAGTCAATGATGAAATATGAACATATAATCACAATTATTGCTATCAATATGGCGGATTCTAAGTGATGGAGGTGGGAAGTATACTGTCCAGTGGACTATGGAATAAATAGTCAACTGAGTCCACCATCCAATGAAAGTGTGGATGGTGATGGTGGGGAACTCCAATAAGACACCATTGGTCATGTATTGTTCCGGTGAGGTTCCTCTCTGCTCCCCCCCAATCACCATCCATCATCTCATAGTGAAATGACATTGTTGTTCCACAGTCCATTGGACTATTCTACACTTTCCCTGAATCTATTTACCATTAGTATAATGCCGACAGTCGTGTTCCCAAATCTTGAGCTCAGTATCCCAACAATTATTGAAGTTTCTGACTTTGTGTATGCACGGATCATCAGAAGAACCCACATACCAGCAACCGGATTTTGGAAGCTTTGTCAACTTCCTAACTAGAACAATTCCTGGGGAAAAATCAGTATTACTAGGAAGCTGAAAAGGTTATCTAAAAGCATTTCATTGATATGCTAGAAGGGGTTTTATTAAAAAACAGAAAACGTAGAGATGAACAGCAGTTTGGTATAAAGTAGAGCAGGCTAGTGTCGATCATAATATTAACAAATGATTGTCATTTATCATTAAAGACTCCTCCTTTAGAGATACAAAGAGTGGAGGGGGGCCCAGATCACATAATCGAAAAAAAGCTACTTCTTTCATCAATAAACTAATTGCGTCTCAAAAATCTACAGGTGAAGACGGGTGGGCAAACACAAAAGAAAGTTTTAGAGTACTCCATGTAGATTAAAATTGAAACAAATAAAATTATTATATCATTCCATGTGGAATTTTTCTTTTCGGACCATTGAAAGGGATATTCTTTTCCTTTTGGGGTGAGCCCAAAAAAATAAACTGATAGAATGCAATTCTAATGGCTTATATGACATTGTCATGAAGTACAACCCTCTGATTGTGGAGCCCAAATTACCCACTTTCCTATTTAACCCCAAACCTAAAATGTGCTCTCTCTACCCACAATGACCTCAGACCTTCGCCTTGGCTCCTGATTTTTGTTCAAGCTTCTAACCTCAAAAATAAAGCACTGAATCCTTTGGAGAACTATGGAGGCTCCAAAAGCGGGTCATGGTCAATAAACCTCATCCATGTTCAATGTTGATGTACCTATTAACTCACCATCACTAGTTAATGTTGGTTTAAGAGACCTCAATGGTGTGCCACATCGTGGATATGTTTTCATCCCTTTGGTTTGGCAGCATCACCTAATCGTTTCGAGACCATGTGGTAACCTTCCATTGAGGTGATGGCAGCTTTTGTATTATTTTTGGGAAAGTACAATACACTACGATCTATATGACCATAGAAAATATATGATCGTAAGCATCATCACCATCCTATCAAAGGTATGGAGAACCAAGTGATAGGTCCCACTTTTCCTCCATCACTGTGCACCTATTATTTGGATGGTGATCAATACTAAATTTTCTTGTCAAGTGGATCATGGCATAATCTTCCATTGCCACTTTGGTTACCCAGACTACTGACCGTTCCTACGATAACTGCCCCAGATATTCATTTAGGAGACTGAAATTTTCATCCATTCCAGAAAAAATGCAGGCATGTTTTATACTTGAGTTCACATACATTTCTTGTGAAGCACAAAATCAGATTCTAGTTTGCCGCTGACTTTAGGATTGAATCTTCATAAGAATTGCCACATGTAATAGTTGTTTATTAAACAATCTTCTGCACTAGGAAAAGAACCAGACCAAGGTAAGGTGCAACAGCTTGAGGGACTTAGAATTAGGGCCTCCAATCATGTGTCCATCCAATATGCAGTTTAAGACAGCAAGCATAATTTTTCTTCAATAAATGTAGAATGTAATGGCCACGCGTAGCTATATACTTCAATCAAGAACAATTATATCTGATTTATTTTTCTTTTTAATGTCATTATAAAATGTTCAAAAATGTTGCCCCACTCTCATTACAGAGTATGCCTCTGAACTTTATGCACAACATTACAGAGGTAGGCCTCTGAAGTCCACAAGCCATGATCATCATCATCACCATCATCAAAGCCCTATCCCAACTATTTCAGGTCGACTACGTTAATCTGTTTCGCCATTCTGCTCATAGGTTCAAAATTCATGACAAGATTTGGCAAAGTTTTGTGCTGGCTGCCCTACCCTCCACAAACCATGATGAATTGTCCAAAATGCAATTAAATAGAACCAATAGAACTCCACATTTATTTACCTCTTTCTTTCTCATGTCCATTTGAGATTGAGATAAAGAAAGGGAAGGAATTAGCCTCAGGCCAAAGGACTGGCATTTGAATTTCCATAGGAGAAAAGGAAATACCATAGAAATCTGAACTTATTCCTCATTGTTAGACAAATGCATGTGGCATTTTACCAGAACTTTCAACAGTATCAAACCAACCTAATGTGAATATGGTTCAATCACATATTCGGGTGTGGGTGCAGGGCGGACCATGTCAAAAAGGGCTCCTCAATTGATTAAATAGAGAAGATCGCCAAGATTTCATGACCTGCTGCCGAATCTATTCCAGTTCCAACAGCTCAGACTCGGATCGTAGGGATAGACAGACAAACCAATCAACAATCATTAATAGAAAATGCATGGACCATCCAGCAATAAGAAAAATGTATTCATCTAACCAGGACCAATAATATGCACATTTCACAGAACCAGAGAAACCATTCACCAAGAAGAAAATAGAATTTAGCGATACTTTTTTGCCTCACAAAATTAAAGTTGCTACACTTATGGATTTAATAATTATATTCTTATTTTAGATGTTCATCCACAACCGATAAGAGATAGTACCTGGGATCGTTCTACCGGATAGGGCAGCAAAACTTATTTTAACATCCTCAGGATCCTCTGGTTGAAAATCACAAACAATAAGCTGTAGCACAAAGAAGTGCGATGAGAAAGAAAGCAATCCTATGTAATCTTCCAAGTAGTTTCCAGATCGTATCGAGAGTCCAGGTGTTACAAGGGCACAAGTACAGCCTAGGGCTTGGGTTAATGATAAAAACAATTGCATCATAAGAGAATCTGATTCCACATATCCAAAAACATGACTTGAAAAATGGTAAGGATTGTATTGCTCAGATTTGTAAGACTATCGAGTTTGTATCTGTTTAAAGCTAAATATTCAAGCCTATACTTGACTTGATTGACAGTGACAGAAATTTTGATAAAATGAACACACACAAAAAGGAATGGCTTCTACATGTTTCAAAATAAACAAATATGGTACTGATAGAGATAAAACCTTCTGCACATCATAATGTGGCATTTGCACATAATAAGAGACAGATCCTATTAAATGTGCAAAATATAAAAATAGGCCAAATAAAGGATACATCTTTGAGTCGTATATGCACCTAGTAAGTTTGAAAGTGATAAATACCTGTTGAAAACTTCTTTCTTTTGATCAGCACGTCATAAAGTTATACTCAACGAATAACATATGTAACATAATTGCATAATACAACAGTAATTGCACATATCATGCAAGCGCTATACAACTGCATATATAGTGCAGCATATGTAAGATAACTGTGATGTTGTTCAGAACCTTGATTTCCCAGGAAGCACGGGCTGAGAAGGGACCAGCTAAAATATTATAATACATTGCTTTAAAGCAACATGTAAGAAATCCTCCATCAATATTATCTGAACCCTCGAACAAAAAATATTGATGTAAGAGCACTCCCGAAAGTCAGAGAAAAGAAAACAGTACAATTTATGCTGGTATCCACAAGCAACCAAAGATAGTATCCCATGCAATACAAAAATCTAAAAGCATCACTCCAGGAAAGGAAACCCCTACATGGCACTTCTTTTCTTAATGGCCAATTGATCTATTCAATTATTTCCAACATTAGATCTATGCAGCACCAAAACTATACAATCATGATTCATATGGAGCTATCAACTAGTTCCATTGAACCAATGCCTCCTAATGTCATATCTATACAATGTGTGACACAGGGTATCTAATATTTGGTACGAAATGATGATGTGAGCAATTCTCTTAAGACCACAAGTTGGCCTCATTACCTGCAACAAGTTAAACAATATTTTGTGGGCCTACATTCATAACTGCTTCCATGAAAAGCCTGCATCAGCATTCTTAGCCACAGCCGATGCATCTATACCGTTTGAAAAGAAAATGTCCATTGATTAATATACAACGTTTTTCTCACCTTCCACCAGTCTATGATTATAGAACACCATACTATGTCTATGTTGCCTCAATGATTCATAGAACCCCAAAAACATTTCAACATTTTTTCTAACATCCAACCCTATGGGCACTTTGAAGTGGTGCCAGTGGCCTAACCACACCAAGCATAGGCCGAAAAGAAATAATCATTATGCAAAACAGAACCATGATATCTTACATCCAATAATCCATGACCTCGTTTGCATTGATGGGCTGCAACAATGCATCATACATGGTGCAAAGTACCTCCTCTTCCTCAATTACAAATTGGGCACAGTGTTAACTCCACCCTCGGGCACGTTTCTGTTTATTTCCCAAGTTGGCCCAGATCTCTTTCCAATTTGTAAATTTTCCTTTCCTTTTTTGCTTCCCTATGGAGGGAAGCTGTTTCTCGACCTAAATCTAGTCCTTAATTTCCAAAGCTTGTTTCTCATGGGGATTTCGATCTCATTGGAAATAATTGCAACTTTAATGCAACATATCAATAACAATATCAAAACCATGGAAGGTTACACAAGAATACATTTTCGGAATGCAGAGACAAATTCAAACATGCAAAAAGAAACAATATTGTCATGTTTAGAAGATAAACTTGAGCTCTGTGAGTAGTATATTCACAGACATCCAAACATAGCAATATCTATCGAATCATACTACAAACACCATCAACTTTAGATTCACAGGACTCAAAAGACCCCAAATGAATCTCACAGAGACCTGAAATAAAGTTTTCTCATTTAAAATAATAAACATGGTTTATACCCTGGCTTACCGTACATCAGGGACAACATTGAAAGCAATGCATATGGTCTGCATTGAAGGGGCAGGGAGCACAAATAACAGGTAAAAATGTTCAAAGAAATATTCATTTTTTATAATTAAAAAAATAAAACCCATCATTTAAAAAAATTAAAATTCGACTATTTAGATGCAACAAGAAAAACCAGCATATAACGTATAAAAACAATCCATTTTGAGCGTGTTATTCATGGTTTCCACAGAAGATAAGATGGCTATCGACACCATAACTGACTGGAAATTACATGAAGTACAAAATTTTAAAAACCATTATAGAAAAACAAAAAGTCTAACAATGGCTTTGAACGCCTCATTAGGATGGTTCAAAACCGAGATTCAGACATTAAAAAACTTATGGCGGGGGGGGGGGGGGGGGGCGAAAGTGTGAAACCAATATCCATTATAGGAAGTTGGGAGGAGAGAGAGAGAGAGAGAGAGAGAGA